TATATGGAATGAGTTAGCTTAACTTTTCTGAACTTCATTCCTCTTTTTTCTCAAATGTGGGGATAACTATATGCCTCCCAGGATTGCTGGGAAGATTTAAAAGAGGTGGTAATATTAACAGTAGTAATTGCTGGGTAAGGTTTTTCTGTTTCGTATCCGTTACTGTTCTAGGACCTTAACATATGCTGCCTCGGTTCATGGAGAGGGTATTAAAGCAGAGCAACAGGTGTTCAATAAGTATTGATTGTATCTCGAATCCTTTCACATCTGTTAACAACCTAGCTGTCCTATTTCTTGTAGCTCATTATTTTCATATTTCTTTCACAGCAGATCTAACTTGTGTATGACTCTCTACATAATGAAAACTTTGGAGTACAGACCGGGATGAAAACCTGGTTCTACAGTTGCACTAGACGTACATTTTAATCATGCTGTGCCTTGGTTTTCTCGTGTACAGCAGGTGCTAACATCCAATTCTCCAGGAGCTAAGGGAGTTAAATGAGATGACCCATGACGAGCAGCTGGCTGACCACAGCACTGGTTCTGACTCTCTCCTCTCCCTCCGTGTGGGCCGCTCCCAGCAGCACTTCCTCTGGCTGCTACCCCAGGCCATCTCACTTCAGGCCATCTCATTTTAACGGTTCTCTTGGTCATAGCTTTAAACACTGAGGCAAGCAAGGTGAATGTTCTCCCTTTTGTGCCTTATTCTCTAGCCTCTCATCCTTGTGTCTGGGCCACAGGATAGCAGAGAATACTAGGCATGCACAAGTTTCTCAGTGAATACTTACAGAGCAGAATAAAAGGACAGGGAAAAAACTCAAACTGGTTGCTATTTGCCATCAAGTTGACTTTCTTCTTTAGCCTGAAGAAGATGACTGTCCATGGAAGATAAATGCATAACTTTTTAAAGATGTTTTGTTTGTTAGTTTTGTTTTTTAAGCAGACGAGGCTGGTGGAACGTCAGATAGGGGGAACCTGGGAGGTGTATTAATTTGCTAGGACTACCATAACAAAGTACCGAAGACTGGGTGGCTTAAACAGCAGAAATTATTTCCTCATGATTCTGGAGGCTGCAACTTTGGTTTCTTCTGAGGCCCCTCTTCTTGGCTCTTAGATGACCCTCTTCCCTTGGTGTCCTCACATGACCTTCCTTCTGCCTGTCTGCGTCCTTCCTTTTTTCATAACGATGTCAGTGATACTGGAGCAGGAGCCACCCATATGACCTCATTTTACCATAATTACCTCTTTAAAGATGCTATCTTCAAATACAGTTACATGATGAGTTACTGGGGGTTTGGACTTAAATATATGAACTGGTGGGGGCAGGGAGGGGGGCATATAAGTCAGTCCATATGGGTGGCAACCGAGGGCCTGGCACAGTGGTTGTTTTCTAAGGGTCTGTGCTTCTCTGGAGAAGATATGTGAGTGACTGTTTTGTTGAATCATAGAGCTAGAAAACATCTAGATGAAGAATACTTGCTTTTGATTTCTGAAAAAGTAATACTTTGCGCTGATTTCTGGGGGGAAAAAACTCACTAGGACTTAGTCTAATTTTTTCCTTTATATATTATTTTTAGGCTAAAGTAAGATAAACCTTACTGTTAAGCACCTATATTTTTTTCTCACCTTTGAATATCCAGTGCTTTGCTCACAGAATGTGTCAGGAAGTAGTTGTTGAATTGAATACAGGTGATTTGTCTGCCTTTGGACATGGTCACAATTTCATTCACCCACAAAGGAAACGAATTGTCTTTTCCATGGTCATTAGAGAAGACTGAGGGCACATTTTATTGCCTCAGGATTTTGGGACTGAACTCTTTCTAATGTCTGAATTCTTCTGCTACAGTAATGTATTTCTTTATGAACCATGTTTTTTAAACAAAGAATGTTATTGCTTCCATTTCCTGAGTTGCTTTTTATTTTGTGCATTATTATTTGCTCTTCAGACTTCTTTTTCTTTGGAAGAACATAGGCATAATTTCCTTAGACATAGATCAAAACTAGATTTGATAATTAAATATGCTGCAACTTGTATTATGGAAGAACAATAAGCAAAATACTCGGCACAAATTTTTTGATTTTTGTTTCTAATTATTTCAGAATATTTCATTTCTTAAAAATATTTTTAATCATAAGGTAAGCTTTGATGGGTTAAAGGAACAGGTCTCCAAAAGTATCCTCATTACTCATGTACATGTAAATAGATGTCTTTCACAAATACCACAGAATAATTTAAGATAATTTAAAATGGGGCTGTCAGACAGTTTTCATATACACAGGCAATTTGTGGCTTCAAAATGCTACTTAGTTCCCTAACGGGAAACTTTTTTTGGTGAAGATTAATTTATACTTCAGACATTAATTTTTATAGTTAGTGGAAATAACTTATTCTTACAAAATATAGTAGTAAAAAGGTAATGTTTCAGCTCTGTATCTCTTATTTTGTTTTTTCCCCCTTGACTAGAATTCTTATCTTTGTTAGTGCTTTTTGCCTCTTTTTAAAAGCGCTTTAACAGTTCAGAAACTATATGAGAAATGAAAATAATTTCTCTTCATTCTAACTACCCCTGTTTACAAGCCCACGGTTGTTCCTCATATTTGGTGAGAGCCCTGCTTTTGTTTAACTACCTCCGTCAAGTCTTGATGGCTGCTTGACCATTGGAAGTTTGACATTGACTGAAATACTCAAGGTTGTAAGTTTCTAGAAAACTAATACTTTGCTTCTGTGGACCTTCCAGTGTCTAGCACAGGAGTAAATGAAGGTTCCATGAGAGGGGGGGCATCTAGAATATGTCCTACTTTTTTCTTAATAGCTAGTGGCAGGGTGAGGAGAAAAAAGACAATATAGAGTAATGCATATTTGTACCAAGTGGTAAGAAAAACCCATATTTATACTAAAATTGTACAAAATGTGCTCTCATAGTCACGCTTTGCATTTTGGACAAAATAGAAGATGCTTTTACCTGTGTCAAAACATACCAAACTGTCCACTTTATATAGAAGCAGTTTTCAGCGTGGCTGTTATACCCCAATAAAACTACTTCAAAAAATGTGAATGTGAAAAACCAGCCTATCAAGTTTAGGGATATACAGTTACATAACAAACCAATGATGAAAAGTAAAGAAGTGAGAATGTTTGATTCAGAATAATTCATTGTTACATGTTTTTAAGTGCAGTCCTCTGCATTTCTGTAATATTTTACAATAGAAAATTTAAAATTTAAAAAAAAAAGGAAATGTTTTGATGATATTTATCAGCATATGTATTAGAATTTCTAGTGTCGTGGTTTAAGCATCATTTCACATATATCTGTAACTTAACAGCCTAAGTGGGGGTAACGTGATTAGCTTGCCAGAGCCTGGAAGAGATTACATTTGTTAGAGATATGTAAAAAGCCACATCCTGAGCTTTAGTAGGATGACTCAGAGTCTTAATTTGCTTTATTAATGAACTATTAACATAGTAGTTAATTCTAAAACTATATGTTAATGTGTAATCATTAATAAAGATTTTTGTTTTCTTAACATAAAGATTAATGGCTGTTAATTAAAATTAAAGCTATCTCTTATGCTGAAGTACCAACTAACATTGATAAACTTTCCATTTTTTTCTCTCAAGAAGTATTTTAAAAAACAAAGCTTAGTATAATTTTATTAGAATGCTTTAGACATGATTAAGTCATTTTATTTTGTCCTACAGTCAGCTTCCTGAGGTGTAATGAGAAATCTATTTCGATGTACAAGTGTAATTTTCAGTTGTTTCCTTCCTTCCTCCCTTCCTTTCTTCCCTTCTTCCCTTCTTCCTTTCTTTCTCTCTTTCTTTCCTTCTCTTTTAAATAAAATTTCCTATCAGTGTGTGCCGGACTGTCTCAAGTGCTTGATTAGACCATCTGCTCTCTTTGGAAGCCTGGTCCTGGCTTCCAAGTTTACTCTTGTGCCGTCATTGTCTGCTTCCTTGCAGGGCCCTAACGCAGGGGGCCGTGCTCTCAGCTGCCTCAGCCCTACTGATTCTTTGAGTCCCTGAAGCCTTACTCTGAACCTGCCATTTCATACTCTTGTTCTCTGTACCCCACAACTTTACCTTTTGATTATGTAATCTGTTGTATTATTTCTTATCTTGTGTCTCAACAAAATTGTTTGCTCCTAGAGCAAACAGCATGCAGTTAGCCACAGAACCCATAAACATTGGCATTATACTCATATGTTACCTTATTTTGGTTCAATTTTTACAAAATCATTTGAAGAAAGGATGGATAGAATGTTGGTTGGCTCACTCTGCCCATAGCAGGTCCCCTGTCACAGTGTCTCCTCACGTTACTCATTGCATCATCAGGACATTTTGGGAGCAGAAGTGTCCTTGATTTGGGATTGTTCAAGTGTCTGGTTTCTTGGGATCCTCTCATCCGCATCCTTGGTCTCAGATTAAATGACCTTTCAGTACACTTATGTTTTCTGAAGTTAATGTTCCCTTTGTTTCCTAAAACCCCAATGTCATGGAACTGTGCTTGCTAAAGCAGGAGTGGGGTCAAGAGCTACCAGGCAGATCTGGAAGCTCAGCCCTCTAAAGAGTGTAAGTGGCCCAGAAAGTCTCTTTCTGGAAAACCACTTAATTGATCATCAAAGCCGTTCCTAAAATCAGCTTAAGCACACATTAAATTCAACTTGTCTTAGATGAAGTCTCCAGAAGTCTTCTTCAGCTGTGAAAATTTTATGAGACAAACGAGATTTATTGTCGAGCTGTTGATCTCTCCAAAACGTTTTGTGTAATCAGAATCAGGTGGTTGATGAAAAGTTTATTTTCATAAGTTTTAACTATTAAATATTATTTTTAAAACTCATTTAGCTGGTTGAATTAGAGAACTTGAATTCAACATGCACTGATTCTTTTTTTCCCTATGTAGGAAAGAAAATTAAAATTAAGGGGGAAGTAATTAAATACTATGTACAGTCCCAGGATCTTTGCTAATAACGTACTACATTCCTTTTGCTGTTTTCTTCAGGTGATTGAAGATAATACCGGCGTCCGCCGGGTGGTGGTCACCCCCCAGTCTCCTGAGTGTTACCCGCCAAGCTACCCCTCGGCCATGTCTCCAACCCATCACCTACCCCCCTACCTGACTCACCATCCGCATTTTATTCACAACTCACACACGGCTTACTACCCACCTGTTACTGGACCTGGAGATATGCCGCCTCAGTTTTTTCCTCAACATCATCTTCCCCCTACTATATATGGCGAGCAAGGTGAGAAAATTGCTGGTATCAGGGGCTGTTGGAACTGGTCGCAACACTTAAGTGGCTTAAGAGAACCAGAGAGCCCTTTGTTTCTTCTGTAACAAGCATGGTAGAAGAGGTTCCACCTGCTGTATAAAAAACTCATGGGAAATTCCTAGCTTCTTTTGTTCTGAATTGTGTCTTGCAGCTCTTTCTTTATATTTTTCCAATTTCTGCCCCCGTCCCACCCCACAGAGAGCAGGGAACAGGTTAGCCACTTTTTGTTTCAGAAAAGGGGCAGTAATCTATCATCTGTTCCCATGTCCTGTTAACATTTTTATGTGAGAGCGGCCTGGGGTAGAGCTGCAGCGTGTTGCTTCTGAGGCATCCGTGTGGTCTTGCAGTAGAAGGGAACTTGAAAAGGGCTTTGTGCCCCATTTCCAATGATAGAAGACTGAGGTCTCGGTCACCTCTGGGTTTCCTGGATGCTCTGTTGCAATCTTGGCAGAACTCAAAATCCCTGCACAGTTGACGTGGTCTTCCTGAACCCTGTTTTTAGTTTAAGGATAGCCATTAGTGCAGCCACAGTCCACTCGTTGTTAGGCAGATACTTATCTTGAAATGAAAAAGAGTCTCAGAGATACCGGCATTATGTCTTTTTAGTTTTGGCCTTGGCGTTAGTTTAGTCTAAAGCCCTTCTCTATCAAAATGGAAACTGCGAAACCAGATACTGAGATTTTAACCTCTAGGACTTTACAAAGTGATTTTCTTCTGTGAATTGAAGTGTTTTATTGTTTCAAAAACATTTATTA